CACAGCGTTTCTCTGTCTCTCCCCTCCCCGCTTGGTCCCCTCCCACCTCCCCGCGCAGCGGTTCGCGCTGCGCCTCCTGCCGGCCGCCGCGGCTGCCGCAGCGTCCCCATCCCCGCGCGCGGGCCTTGCCGGCAACCTCCCCTAAATCCGTAGGCCTGGCCTGTAACCTTGGAGCTGTGCCGGGTTCCCCGCCCGGAGTCACCCATCCCCTGTCCGAGAGGCCTGATGCTGGCGGCCAGGCTTGGTCTGTGCGCTGGCCCTAGCAGTGATCTCCCAAAATCCCGCCCCTCCCCTGCTCCTAGTCCAGAGGGTAAGCGGGTGGAGGGGCGGTGGGGCGAGAGGGACGAAGGACGAATGGGACCCCAGGGGAGGTCCGGGAGGCCGCTCCGAGGAGCCGACTTCTCCGCTGCAGCCTGGAGGTCTGAAAGAGGACCGTTTGGGTGGAGGACACTGCAAGTGCAAAGGCGCGGCGGTGGGACCGAGCCAGGCCCATTGAAGAGAAATGATAATACAGCAATTCCTGACGTTGCTGAGCGCTTTCTGGGCGCCCGTCCTGGTCCTGGAGTCGGAGGAAGTTTAATGATTTCAATCTGCCTCAGCTCCCACAGCACACACTGCAGGCCCCTGTGGCCAGAGTGAGTGAGGTGGGTAGAGGAGGGAGCAAGGAGAGCTCAGGCTTTGTCCTGAGGGCACTGGGGAGCCACGGAAGAGTTTAGAGCTGGAGAGGGACCAACCCAGTTTATTTATTTACTTTTTAAAGGAAGATATATATATATATATATATATATATATAATATATATATATATTATTTTATTTATTTACTTTTAGAGGGAGGGGAAGGGAGGGAGAAAGAGAGGGAGAGAAGCATCCATCAGTTGCCTCTCATGAACCCCCAACTGGGGACCTGGCAGCAGCCCAGACGTGTGCCTGCAACCTGGGAATCAACTGAGGACCCTTTGCTTCACAGGCCAGCATGCAATTCACTGAGTCACACCAGCCAGGGCCCATTTATTTTTGTTTAGGGCCCTTTGGCTGCCAGGAGGGGAGTGGATTAACAACAGTAAAGCAGAGAGTCTTGGAGGCCTGGAAGAGGCTGGATAGGGCCCCCCAGAACACACTGAGGCTGGATAAGGTTGAGGGGCAGGTGGATTGTGTATGGATCTTGAAGGAAGAACTGATGGGATGTGGGATGACAGGCATTGGGGTCCCCCATTTGCAGATTGAACCGCTGAAAAGACCTGCAGACATGGGTGGGATTGAGGGGAGAAGAAAGGGTGACATTGGGTGGGCAGCCAGTGGCCAGGTCGGAGTTTACAGCGAAGCCTGGCCCGCCCTAGGGGAAGTCTCGATAAGCCATGTGGGGATCAGGCACAGGCAGAAGACAGAGGCGCCCAGCTCCCCTGCCTTCTCCTTGATTTCTCACAGTCTCTCTGGAGTCCTTCAAGCTGCGTGTATCATCATGTGGATCCCATGGACCAGGAGACAGGCAGGACCTGTCACTGCCAACATGTAGACTGTGGCACTAACTTCCCAGGTTTTCATAAAAATACTAGTCCCCTGGCCCCAAACACACTTACTGGGGTCTGGCTGTGGGGAGGGGCAGGACAGGGAGATTCTTCTAAATGCCTTTATTTTCTTGTAAGTAAAATGGTTCTACTCAGCATGGGCTTAATAAATGTGTGTGTGCAAAGGAAAATAACTTTCGATGGGTTCTAGGGAAAGATGCATCAGGATGCACCCCAAAGGAGGAGGGACACTGCTACCTCTTTCTTTACAGGCCTTTTCATTCCCCCTTTTTATGGTGAATGTGCATTCATTTGGCACTCAAACAGTGAGAAAAAATAGCAGAGTTAGAAAAGGAAAGAGAACCCGAGAAACACCAGGGCCCTGAGCTTGAGTTCCAACTCAGAGCCATGTGTGCTGTGTGACCCTGGGTCTGTTTCTTAACAGAACCCTGTCTGAGCTCACTTCCCCATCTCCAAGGGCAGCTGGAAGAGGTAATGGAGTGAATACCCAGGAAGGTTTGGAACAGGGCCCAGCATACAGGAGCTCAGAGTGTGACAAACTCTTTCTGTAAAGGGCCAGATAGTAAATATTTGCAGCATTGCAGCCCCAGATCTTCCATTGCAACATGAAAGCAGCCAGGGGCAATATGTACACGCATGGCTCAGCAAAAGGGAGCTGTGTCCATTCAGCCCAAAAAGATTTTTTGAGCACCTACTGTGCACCTGGCAGTGTTAGGTGCCCGGGATGCAGACGCCCTGTGTTCGGAGAAATGACTTTTGTCTACTAAGTAAATGATTCCAGGTTTGAGGGATGCTGGGTGCATTTTGTTTAAAAATAGGAAGAGTGCTCACTTCGGCAGCACATATACTAAAATTGGAACGATAGAGAGAAGATTAGCATGGCTCCTGCACGAGGATGACATGCAAATTCATGAAGCGTTAAAGAAAAGAAAAGAAAATAGGAGGAAGAGGAGGTGTGTGTATCGACTGCTGGGACCCGCCCCCCCCCCAGCGCCCCCCCCCCACACACAAACCATTCTCCAGCGTTGCTAGCCCAACTTTCCTGGGCTCCCATCTCTCATCTCTCTCAGGCCAAAAGCCAAGTTCCTTAAAGTTCTCAAGTGGTTGCCTGGGGACTCCAGGTCCCCAACATCCACACTCCAGATGCAAGCATGCATGTAGTCACTTCCAGGAGACTGGCTGGAGGTGGCAACATATGAGCTGGAGAAGTCAGGCCCGGCCCAGATAGTGCAGAGAGGCATCCCGGGCAGCAGGGGCAGATCTCAAAAAGTCATGGAAACGGTGCCCTGGCTGGTGTGGCTCAGTGGGTCCAGTGCCCACCTGTGAACCGAAAGGTCAGTTATCGGTCTGATTCCAGATCAGGGCACCTGCCTGGGTTGCGGGTCAGGTCCCCAATTGGGGGTGTGCGACAGGCAACCAGTAGATGTTTTTCTCACATGTCAATGTTTCTGTTCCTCTTTCTCCCTGACCCTCTCTCTAAAAAAATAAATAAAATCTTAAAAAAGAAAAGAAAAAGCACGGTGGTGGAACCAGGCAGGTTATGTCATTTCAGACCATCAGAGCAGTGGTCTCGAGTAGCCCTTGCACCCTTTCACCCTCCAGAGAGGCGTCCACCTCACCCGCTCCCTCCTCTTCTCCCCTCAGCGTGCTGCAGCTCCAATCCGTGTGGGGCCCTGCCCCCGTTCTGGACCACTTGCATCCATGGTTTCTACCATGACTCCCCTTCCCGTCTCACTCCTTGGCCACCTCTGCTTATCCAGGATGTCACCATCCCCAGAGCCCCTGACCCTGCTGTGAGCCCACTTCACATCTGTGGCTGCCCCAGGACATCCTCTGGGGCCCTTGGACTCCAGGGGAGTGGATCCCAGAAGCCCACTCCTCTTCTGTCTCTGAGTCAGAGGCCCCTTTACCTCCTCCCTAGCCCTGACTCCAGCTCATGCCTTGTGTCTCCCATCCCAAAGGGACCAAGAAAGGTTAAGCTGGACATGCAAGGAACTATATCGCAGAAGGAAGGGGTTCTTGAGCTCCTCCCCCGCCAGCTTCATAACTCCAAACCTCAGGCCCAGACCAGGTTGGGGCCTTTACAGAGCAGCATGTCAGAGCCCTGACCCCTGCTATCCTCCTGGTTTGCTCCATGGCCCTGGGAGCCCTGGACTTAATGGGTAAGGGGGGTGGGGACCCGATGGGGCTACCCAGTTCTGGCCAGCTCAGCACTGGTCCATCTGCAGATCAGCAGAACCCAAATTCACCTCCCAGGGAGGCTGTGTCTCTGCACCTAAGAGTTCTCAGAAAAGAAATTAATATGACCATGAGTTAATCTCCTCAATATATAAAGAACTCCAACAAATCAATAACAAAAAGTGTTTAGTAAGGGAGCTATCATCATCATCATCATCATCATCATCATCATCATCATCATCTCCATTGTTGTTGAGTCTCCTCTGACTGAGAAAACCACCCAATCCTCCATGAAAAGACCCATCGAGGACTATAGTCCAGGAGTTCTGGGTTCAAGACCATCTTCTGAGTAGCCCCAACAAGCCAGTTTGGGGTTGGACAATACTGGCCCTTACCCAGCCCATTACTCAGGGCTGCTGGGAGCTTGGTTAGTTGGGGCCATAAAGGACAGTTGCCCATTTCACAACTGCTTATCAGATGGGAAGGAAATGGGCCCACCTGTGGGTAAAACTGGCCCCTGGTAGAGACAACAGCTGTCCTGAGGCTAGAGCCCTGGTCCCCTCACTCCCTCTCTGTGCGACCTTGGCCAAGGCACTTAACCTGTCTCTGCCTCAGGATCCCCATCAGTGACATGAGGATAGAAATAATACATCCTTGGGTCACTCCAGGATTAAATAAATTTCCACATATCTGAAGCTTTGATTGATATTTATATATTTTAAAAATCCTCACCCAAAGATATGGGTTTTTTAAAAATTGATTTTTAGAGAGAGAGGAAGGGAAAGGGGCGGGGGGCACATCTATGTGGAGAGAAACATCAATTGGCTGCCTCTTGTATGCATTCTGACCAGGATCAAACCCGAAATCTCAGTATATGCTCTGACCAGGAATCGAACCCACCACTTTTTGTGATGGGATGACACTTCCAACTGAGCCACACATCCACGGTGTCAGTTGATATTTATGCCACCCCCCGCAAGGGCATGCGGCTGGAAGAACTGACCAAGACGCTGGGTAAATTGGGGGACAGAGAAGATAAGTGACCCCTGGGGGTACAGGGACTGGCAGAGCCAGGGTTTGCCTGGGCAGGCAGCCCCCTGCTCCCCTCCACTGCCCTGTTTCCTCCCCTGCAATTACGATCAACAACCCCAAGGCGGTTGAATCATTGGTGTCCCAGAACCACCAGCTCAGATCTGGTCGTTGCTGATGGGGCCTGGCAGGGCCTCCAACCACAGACCACAGCTGGGTTCCCCCTTTCTGGGCCGTTGGATGAGGGTGGGGGCCTCAGTCCTCAACGCTCTCCAGGGAGATTCCGGCCTGCACTAGCCATGGGGCCTGGGGCAGGCTGCTGGGACCACCTGTTGCTGACTGTGGCTACTGCCCTGATGCTGTCCATGAGGCCTCCAGGTGAGGACCCCCAGGTGCCCCTACACAGGGGCCCCACCAGTTAACTCTCCAGGTGCCCTAAGGCTCTGACTTGATGCAGCTACACAGCCCTCGCTGGTCACCCTCTGGGGCCTCAGCAGGGAGTGGGGCAGGCGCCCAGCTGGGGTCTTGACAGGCCCATACCCAGGTTTCTGGCTTTTGGTCCTCCTCCCGGCACACTCACGGGCCTTCTCTGGGCTCCCCGTCACTCTTGTCCTTCTGCAGCTCTCTTTCCAGCTCCATCTCTGCCCAGCTCTGGCTCTTTCTCCCCCAGGTTGGCCCCCATCCCATCCAGCGCCTGAGTTGCTCCCATGAGCTCTTCTTCCTGCCAGGCCCCACATGCTCCCCCTTCTCTCTGCAGGCTCCTGGGGGGCCAGGATCATTGGGGGCAGAGAGGTGACCCCACACTCCCGTCCCTACATGGCATCGGTGAGCTTCAACGGCCAGCATCACTGCGGGGGCTTCCTGCTCCGCGCCCGCTGGGTGGTCTCAGCTGCCCACTGCTTCAGCGACATGTGAGCCCACCCTGGGCCCCCTCCCCCTGCCTGTTGCCACTTGGAATCCCAGAATGCTCTGGATACAGGGTGGGGGGTGATGGCGGGAGTGGTGAGAGGGATTCCTGGTTGGGCATTGCTGCATTCCAGGCAGGGGCATGGTTCATACAGCCAGATCCCACCCCTCCCCTGTGGGGCTCTTGAAGGAAGAGGCATCTCAGTGGGGTTAGCTTTACCGGACAAGGAAGGGGAAAGGGTGGAGTGCACAAATGAAGTGCCGAAGGAGCAACCTCCATAACGATAAATAGATGTTATCATCGCTGTGCTTGTTCTAAGTATATGTTTTTAAGATTTTTACCTATTTATTTATTTTTAGAGAAAGGGGAAGGGAGGGGGAGAGAGGGAGAAAAACATCGACGTGCCAGAGGAACATCCTTCGGTTGCCTCTCACACGCCCCCAACCGGGGACCTGGTCCACAGCATGGGCATGTGCCCTGACGGGGAATCAAACCAGCGACTTTTCAGTTTGTTGTATATCGCTCATCCCACTGAGTCATACCAGTCAGGGCAAAGTATACTTTTATAATAATCATTAACCATATTAAAGTTATTGGAAGAAAAAATTTTCTCCACTTTTCTAGGTTCTTCCAGATGGTCTAATAGTTCAAGCTACAGAGAAATTAACAAGAGAAAATAACCATTTAATGCAAACGTACACATGGGAGCCCCACACCCATGAGGGGGTCAGGAACAGAAAGGACGGATGAGGTACACACGTCACCTGAGCTAGCGGTGAGGCCAGGTGCCTGAGGCATCAGTGGCGAGAAGGGTCCTCGAGCCTTGAGAAGAGCGGATGCTCAGTAATTAGAGGGCTGCCCTGCTCCCCAGGTAGACCACAAAAGGTTACCTCTGGAGCTAACGCTCACAGTGGGTGAGGCTCCCATTTAGACTCAGGCAGGTGATTAAGGCAGAGGTAACAGTTTCTTGTGAGCCCTTGAGGTCTTGATGGCCTTTGGTTCAAAATAATCCACATGCCGAAGGGACACATCTTGGGGAGGCCTGTTCTGAACCCCTGTAGAGGTAATAATATAATTGAGGTGGGAATTATAATAAATAAATATTCTATTCATTCTAAGTGTAGTTTATAATAGTTATTAGAATTCATATTGCAACAATTAGAGTTAATGCTATAATTGCGGTGGGAACAGTAACAAACATCATTATTATCGCAGGGCTGGCATCGGGATGAAATAGACTGCTGTGCACTGGCTTTGCAGATGGAGCTGCCAACGACCGTGGCCGGCGGCCCTCCCCCAATCTCACTTACTTCACCCCTCCCTCCTACAGAGACCTCCGAACAGCTCTGGTGGTGCTGGGGGCCCACGCTCTTCGCACCTCAGAGCCCACCCAGCAGGTGTTTGGCATCTCTGCTGTCATCAGGCACCCTGACTACCACCCCACGACCCACGCCAATGACATCTGTCTGCTGCAGGTGAGCTTTGTGGTGGTGGTGGGGACACACTGGACATAGGTCTCGCCTCTCCCAGCCACCCCTCTGATGACTGGACATGCTTTAGAAGTAGCTGTAGGATCCCAAAACATCTGCATCAGGTTAAGTCTTTGCTCAAACGTCGCCTCCGCAGGAGGCATCCCTGGACACCCACCCCATCCTGTGCCCTGGTCCCGTCCTGCCTTCCCTCCTCCCTGTTCTCTCTCTCTTTTGTCCCGAGAGGCTGTCACCTGCTAGCAGCAGCTGCACATTCGCTACTTCACCATTCTTCACTGTCTCCTCTAGACCTGAGGGCAGGAATTTTTACCTCATTTGTGACCATTTATGGCACACAGCTGGCGCTCAATGTCCAGGCTAAAAGGGGGACACGTGAGGGACGAGGACCATGAAAGACTCTGCCACTTGGCCCTGCTTGGGGTTTTCTGGCCAGGAGGCATCTCTTCCCAGAAACGTGAGCTTCCCTCTGCCCTGCCATGAGGGGTGCCCTTTCAGACCATCCCTCCCTGCAGCTCCCACGGACGTACCCCAAATTCAATTCCAGTCATCCTCAGGGCCTCTGTTTTAAGGGGAGAATGTCCCAAACTTGTTCTCCAAATGTGGTAAAAAATTAAAGTGAAGAGATACTCAACACGCCTGAATAGTTCCCTGGGAACAGTAGGATCTGGGGTTCTCTTGGCAAATACAAAGGGAGCAGTGAGTGTTAGCAGCCACAGCCTGAGTTTCACTCTCTTGTGGAACCCCAAGGCCTAGAACCTGCTGCTCTGACTTACCCATCCCTTTGTGTGAGTGGGGAAACTGAGGTTGGGGGTGGTCAGGGTTGTGCCCAAGGTCAGGGAATGCCAAAACCAGGGGTCCAAGTTGTTCATTCCGTAACTGTTGATTGAGTATCAGCTGTGTGCCAGTCAGCAGGGACACAGACATAAACAAACCCTAGGACTGGTCCTCTTAGAGCCGCCAGTCTAAGAGGGTGGCAGCTGGGTAAACTGGCTTTGACAGGAGCAGATGGGAGCCCAGAGGAAGTGTCTGCCCTTGCCTGGGAATCTTGGAAGACTTCCTGGAGGAGACCATGTCTAAGTTGAGACCTGAAAGCTAGACAGGAAAGGTGCTCCAGGTCGGCATTACAGTGTGAGCAAAAGTGTGGAGCTGGGCCCAGGGCGTGGCAGGGAATTTATTCAGGCTGGAGGGGAGGGCTGAATGGGGGTGGAGGAGAAGAGGTTTCATCTTGAGGGCAATGGGGAGCCATGGGAAGGCTTAGAGCAGGGAAAGAGATGATAATTAGGAAGACCCTCTGGGCAGCTAAAGAGGTGAGGGGAAGCCATAGTCCAGGTCTGAGTGAGTTGGGCCTGATGGACCGGCGCCACTTGGCAAAAGCAGCAGACCTTCTGACAGTTGTTGCTTGCTCTGTATAAGGCCAAGAGACCAGGTACCACAGATGGGTAAACTGAGACAGGAGCAGTGGTGACAGTTTAGGCGGTCCAAAACCCAACGTTCTCTCTGCAGCTGAACAGCTCTGCCATCCTGGGTCCTGCCGTGGGTCTGCTGCGGCTGCCAAAAAGAGGCTCAAGGCCACTCAGGGCTGGGGCGCTGTGCCGGGTGGCCGGCTGGGGCTCTGTGTCCAACTTTGAAGAGTTGCCACCTGGGCTGATGGAGGCCGAGGTCCGTGTGCTGGACTTGGACATCTGCAACAGCTCCTGGAGGGGCCACCTGCCCCCTGCTATGGTCTGCACTCACAGTGGGGACCGATGGCGACGAGGTTTCTGCTCAGTAAGATACTCATTCCCCGTCCCTCCCACTGACCATATGGGAAACCAAGGCCCACAGAGAACGGTCAGAGCTGGGCAGAGCCTTGGGAACTCAATCCCAACTTACTTTTGAGCAGATGGGCCTCACCTGGGGCCCAGGGTCACAGGGCTCCCATGTATGGCTGTGCAGCTTGTGCAGTGCACGGAGCTATACCTTTGTGTGTTTGTAAGCAGTGGCCAGTAGGGGGCAGTAGCAGATCTCGAGGAAGGAGCTCCTGCTCCTAATAACCTGTTTGGAATAATGGCAACCCTGGCCCTACTGCAGAGGGAGACACTTAGCCTGGAGGGTCTTTTGTTTCAGACAAGAGAGTTCAGTGGTTCAGAACACAGGTTCTGGAGCCCAGCTGGTCCAAATCCAGACTATGTCACTTTCCAGATGTGTGGCCTTGGGAAAGTCACTTCACTTCTCTGGACCTCTCTCCATCTTTCTCCATTTACAGAACTGCCACCTCATAGGGCCAGAGCTACTGGTAATTCCAGATGACAATTGGGGTGAGACCAGGAGGGGAGTGGGCAGGAATTTTAGGATGAGTATTCAGGAAGGCTAGCACCTTTGAGCTGAGTCATAAAGGAAACCTTAAGATCTAAGAGAGGGCATGCCAGGTGGAGAGACAACCACAGGGTTGCCATGCACATCCAAGCAGGTTTGTACTGCACAAACAGCTGCAGACTTCTCTGTTTATACAAGCAATGCCCAGCAGGGGGCAGTAACAGGTCACAAGCAAAAGCTTGCAGGGGTGTCCAGCCCTTTGGCACCCCTAGGCCACACTGTAAGAAGAGCTGTCTTAGGCCACACATTAAATGTATGGTGACATGTAATCACAAAAAAATTCTCATAATGTTTTGAGTAAATTTACAATTTTCTGTTGGGACGCATTCATAGCCATCTTGAGCTGCATGAGGCCCATGGGTCGCAGGCTGGACACCCTGGTAGAGGCTGGATGGAGCTTGGCTTGCTCCAGGAACAGCCAGGAAGGCTGGTGAATGAGGGAGAGAAGGGCAAACAGGTGGATGGGATCCGCAGGGTCTTGAAGGCTGAGGCGAGGGGTGTAGCCTCAGCTGTAAGGGCACTAGGGTGTCATGGAAGGGTTTGATGGGCAGGAAAGGGTCCTGGTGGGCTTTACATGCAGAGGCCCCTTCAGGCAAAGTGAGGCTGAGAAGAACTCCTGGCCTCGTCTCTCCCTCCATTCCAGGCAGACTCTGGGGGGCCCCTGGTGTGCAGGAACCGGGCCCATGGCCTTGTTTCCTTCTCCGGCGTCTGGTGCGGCGACCCCAAGACTCCAGATGTGTACACACAGGTATCCACTTTCGTGCCCTGGATTTGGGATGTGGTTCGGCAGCACCTGCATACCCCTCAGCCCAGCTCCCCACCCAGGACCACTGGGGCCCCCACGGGAGCTGCCTGAACCACAGCAGCACTGAGTACACAAATGAGATGACAACCAGTGCAAACAGCTCCAGCCTGGGAAACCGGTGCAAACAGCATCCATGCCTGGGGCAGGGTGTCCACGGGGCCCCCAAACCCAGGAAGCTTGGGTTGGGGTATGGGCATTGGTTACAAACAAAAAGGGCCAAAATAACTGAATAAATGTTAACTAACTAACCAGACATGATGGTCCACCCACATTCCTTGAGCTTTTTCTTGGCCTCAAAGTGGCTGGAGTCCGGCCGAACCACTCCCTCCCTGAGCCACTTTCTTGGCCTCCTTTCTCTCCCACTCACCCCCACCATCCCACCTGTCTCAGCCCTCTGTCTGGCTGCTGCCCACTGCCCAGAGATGGGCACTGAGGCTCGGAGGTGGACAGTGGCTGCCCCAAGGACATACGTGTCTCCCCTGGATGCTTTCAGAGGTCCCCACTTACCACCCTAATAGCAACCCAGGCTCCAGGCTCCCAAAGTGGGTGGCAAAGAGGATCAGAGAGAGTGGAGCAAACCAGAAATTGACCCCAAAGTGGCTTTTTACAATCTTTATTTCTTTGGTGAGGCAGGACCCCAGGGCAGGGGAAATTGCCTTATTGGGGGACTCAAGCAAATTCACCTACTCAAGGGTATTTTTCTGGGTGTCACGGATAAGGCACTTCCTGGGGACTGGGAGAGGGTGTGTACAATGCCTCCTGCGCTCCTTGCCCCATATCCAGTCTGAGCTTCTGGTCTGTATGAAGGCACAGAGAGGTGTCAGAGTGACAGCCCACATGAAATGGAAGGAATTGGCCCTAGGCTAGCACTGGGCAGGGTCGAGACCCCTGAGCCTAGCTGGTGGGTAAAGAGGGGCTGGCTAGGAACTTGGCCTGGAAGCCTGGCAAGGGTGGGCCTCGTGGGACCAAGGGCTTCAGGGTCTAAACCTCACCTGTGGACAGGTCAGCAGTCACTAGAGGTGCTGCTCAGACACATAGCTCCAGGAGGCCAGGTGTGCAGTGGACACTAGCAGGTATAGCCCACCTGGGCCAGTGAGTACGCAGGGTCTCCTGGGCCCCGCCAGCTCCCACCCCCTTCTGAGCTGGTGCTGAGCTGAGACCTATGTCAGGAGGCAGAGAGTGCCTCCCCCATTAGGGGACAAGCTGGACTTTTCTCAGTGGCCTTCACAGGTACATGGAGGCAGTGGGAAAGGAAAGCCCTGGGTTCAGGGGCTGGTAAGGGACTGAGGCTGCATCCTTGGCCTGCTGGGAGGTCTGATCATGTTCTAAGGCTTATGCATACACACACCCCCCAGGCTGTGGACCCCCTCCTCACCCCTTGGTCCCTATTCTAGAAGGCCAGGGTGACTTTTCATTAATTGCTGAGAATTCTCAGACTTCCTGCTGGCAGCCATAATTACTAGTAATCCTGGAGGGAGCAGAAGTGGGGTCCTCTTGAGTGTCTGGGGCAGAGGCCCCACCTACCAGCACTGCTCCCAGGCCCTCTGTCCCCAATCCCTGCAAGGTACCGTTTTGGGAAGGGGTCCAGGGCTCCCCTAAGTGGTCCAGTCCTGGGGCTGGGGAGTGTCCATGGGACATAAATTAGACTCTGCTCTGGCAATAAATAAAATGGTGGAGGCCTTGAACGCCAGGCCCAGGCCGTCCTTAAGTCACACGAAGTTCTCCTCTTCTTCCTTCGACTCAGCATCTGAAGGCTCAGGGGTGCCTGCTGAGCGGGAGGGAAGAACAGAGAAATTGGGGGTACAGAATGGGGCTGGGAGCTACAATCTACCACTGCTCCTTGCCCCGCCCCGCACCTGCGCAGCTGCCCGGGTGGCGCACGCCAATGGAGCGGCCCAGGAAACAGGTGGCCTGGCGCAGATGGCACGAAGACATGTAGGTGATGTTATTGTTGCCGCAAAGCTCCTGGCCGGGGTTGGAGGGCGCAGGGCAGGGCGCTGCGCGGCACATCACGCAGTGGGCGCTGCCAGTCTGGTCCACCACGCACGACTGCGGCCTCTGGCACACCACGTGGGCGCACGACTCTGTGGGCGGGGCGCCAGGTTAGGTTAGGGGGTCGGTCGAGATCGCGAACCCCGCCTACAACAGAGTCCCGCCTCCTCTGGGTGTGCCAGATGCTGCACCCCTCTCCCACAACCCAAGTTCACCCTGAAGCCCGGCCCCCTCTGATTGCACCCACAAGCCCCTCTGAGTCACACACCCATACCTCACACCCCATGTGAGAACCAGAACCCCACTTTCCAAACTTCCACCCTAGTCTTCCTTATTCTCGAACCCATAAAGGAACCAATCCACTGACGCCCTCTTAAGACAATAGACTCCTTTTATTAGACCCCGCCCACGACCTCACCATCTAGGCCCCGCCTACCATAAATCCTGCCTCAACTTCCAAGACCTTTACCTATGCTACTAAGCACTTTGCATCGGAGGCCCTGCAGGCCCCACCCTCATGCACTGCAGCGCCCGTACTGACACGCAGGCCTGGGGGCCCCGCCCTCCCGCTGGCCCGGCCCCCACGTACTGCGACAGCGGCCCATGTACATGACACGCAGGTCCGGGTGGCCGCGGCAGCGTGCAACACGCAGCTCACACTCATCACGGTAGGTGGCGCCGTCCGAACCACAGACCTGCAAGCGCGCCGGGAGCTCCACGCAGTCGTGCACGCACTCGCAGTGCGGGCGGCCCCCCAGCATGCTGCACGCCTTGCCCGGACCGCACTCCACGCCCTCGCACGAATCTGAGGACACAGGATACGCGCCTGTGGGCTGGGGCGCGTGGCAGCGACCAAAGGTCTTCTGAGCCCACTGCTCCTCGCCCCCTGTTCTGAGGGATAGAGGCCGGGCAGGAGTTGGGGGCTGCCCAGAGGGTGCATGGGGAGGTACTGGTTTGGGGTCTGGGTGAGAGGGCTGTTGTGGGAGAGATTTAGTCATTACCCTGGTGGACGCCTGAGGCTGGGGGCTGTGTCTGGAGGCGGGGCTCAGTGTGGGCGGGAAGGGCGTCTCTGCTGTGAATGGTGGGGACAGGAACAGGCTGCCAGCCCCCTCATCCCACTCTCCCTGACGTCTGTTCCCTGACTAGCGTTTCTGGGCAGGCCGGTGGGAGCCCTGGCTGCGTCTGCCCAGGGGTAGGGTGGGGGGCTCCACCCCATTCAGGCTCGGGTCTAGGAAGGACTGGCAGTGTCTGCTCCCGGTGCATGCCAGGACCTCCCGGGAGGAGGGGACAGGGAGGGCGGAGTATGGCGCTTGGCGTGAGGCTCATTTCCTGAGGAGCGGACCTCCCACAGCCGTAGCCATCTGAACTAAGGGTTATCCACCCCCTTGAAACCCCATTTCTCAGGTAGGAAAACAGGTCTGACCAGAAGTCTACTACTCAGGCCCCTGGACCTTCGGAAATGCAAATCGGACTCCATTAATGCCTGCTCCTGCCCTCAGGCCTTCCCAGGCTCATTGGGGCCTCCGGACCACCCTATAAGGTCATGCTGTTTTGTCACATTTTACAAAAGGGGGAAACTGAGGCCCCAACACTCCTGATTGGAGGGGAGGAGCCAGGGGTACCTCAGCATAACTCCAGGCCATGTCCTGGATGGACCCCCCTCCCTCCACCCAGCTCTGTTGCTTCTGGATCTGGAGGACAGACTCTGAGCCTTTTGCACTCTAGCCTCAGCCTCCCTGTGTATAAAGTGGGGTTGATAGGGGAACCCACCTTAGAGGGTGAGCATAAAATAAGTGGCTATTACTAAGACAATGACGGGAGAAGGGATAGGCCATGTTGGTTGTCCCTGCCAGGGCATGTGGGCCGCACCTGGGCGCCTCCCGCCCACACGCACATCTGGAAATGCTCTGCCTGTGTGGCTTCATGCAAGAGGGAACAGAAGGGGGGTGCTGATTTCCCATCCCCAAGGCCAGAATGGGGAGGGGGGTGTCCTGGACCATCTCATGCCCAGGTCAGGCACTTTTTGAAATCTGTCCTCCTCCCAGAAGCCAAAGGGGGTTCTAGAATGAGCCAGGGTATGTGGCAATGAGTTTAGGACCACCCAGCCAGGGTGATCTGGGATTAATCACAACCCAGGAGCTGGCCAGTCTCAGCTTGGCCCTCAGGTCTGTGGCCCTCAGCTCCAGCCTCCTCCCTGCTCCTCTGCCCTACCCCCCCACCCCCACAACGAGGACCTCATCCTAGGCCTCTGCTGATGCTCTCTCCCCACATACTTTCTCCAGCTGATAAACTTCTAATTACCCGCCAAGACGCTGTCTCTAATGCCTGCCTCCTTCAAGTCATGTCCCCTCTTGGTCCCTGCAGGTTGATCCCTGACCACAGGGGCCTGGGAGGGCCCTCAACCCCTTCTACAGGGCAGACAATATGTCTTATTCATTCAGCCCCTGAAGAGCTCCTTGTCTGCTGGAGGCAGCGGCATTTCTCAGAACATGGTTCAGAAGGCACATGCTTATTAAACATGCAGCTAGGGGCTCACCACAGTTCCCTGGAATCTGTGGGGTTAAGGGCAGATAAGCTTGTTGGGAATATTGAGTGTGGGGTCACAAACCAGAGTGGCCAGTCAGGAAAATCCACTTTGCCAGGAGTTAGGTGTGAGCTGAGTGTACTTCCACCTTGTGGGGAGCAAGTGGGGTGCAGATGGCCAAGGCCAGCCTGGCAGAGGGCTTGGCATAAGCAACCGCCTAGAGGCTGGAAACCAAGCTGGGGAGTCAGAGCTTCTTCCTGAATCTTCAATGGAGGGAAGCTGGGATCCCCTTCCCAACTGCTCCTCCCAGTGGCCTTGACTTCCTCCTGCATACCCCGGAGACAGGGAGCTCACTTTCAGCTGGTCCACTTTCAACCACAGTGACCCTGGCCTGTGGCCGACACCTGGGGTCTCACCTTTACCTTTGCAGGGGAGGCAGTGGACCAGGCCCAAGAAGCCCAGGAGGCTGATCTTGTTCCCTGGGTAGGTGACGTTGGACCAGGCGGTGTCGATGTTGCCGGAGGCGCAACACTCGGCCTGGCTCACGTCGGTCTTCAGCACCAGGCTGCAGATGGCCTCTCTGCCCTGCTGGAGCCAGCAGACACCACCTGTGGGCCCGGGAGTGGGGGCGACAGTTCCGATGGGATCAGAGGTGCCCTTCTGTAC